GCTGAAAATAAGTTTTACATTTTGGTGGAATAAAATAAAGAGATGAAAGAGCATTCCGTATTACTTTACATGTTACCATATTCAATGGACAAAATATGTTGTTAATGTACAAACCAATAGGCAATTCTGGTCTAACAAAAAAGGGAGTACAGCCTCTCCATTCTGGTGGTATAGCGGAAATTATGCCCAATTTCTTGTAGTTGTGTCCATTTTTTTATTTTTCCATTTGAAATATAAAGGTCCGAGATATAGACAATGCCCTTTAAAATGAAATCTAGATAACACACACTCTTGTTATCAATGAGAATGTTGGCGTTATTCCAAATTATATTGTTAGCAACTGTTTGAACTGGTTGCTGGCAATGTAATTTCCACCAACTGCACAATAGACTGTGATAGAAAGGGGGTAGAGTAACAGGTAATAGCTCAATTTTATAATTACATCTAAAAATTAAGGAACCACCAAGGGGAAGCAGATAGTGTGATAAAAAAAGTTTCCAGGGATGATTAATTTTTGGATTTAGAAAGCGCTGAACCCATTTAACTCTGAAATACATTAATTTGTTTGCTGGAAATTAGAACGTGCTACGACGATTATGGCGCCCTCAACGACGATTATGGTGCTTCAACACCATAACAGTACAGCTATATGATTCTAATTTGTAAGCACTATACATCGCAATATACATGTACTCACCGTAAAGATAGAACGGTGAAGGCCACCCTAAGTAATCGGTCAACAAACCAGATACCGGCATGCCAATCACAGCGCCGGCGTACGAGCCGGAGAACGACAAGGTAACCAATCGACTTCTCTCTAACGGCGGTGCCCATTTGCTCCACATGCCGTGGGCGGCTGGGTAGGTAACGCCCTGTCAGAAGAAATAAATAACAAACAATAAATAATGTCCATATGATACAGATGTCAGTCTGTAATCTTCTTTTTGTAAAACTTGTTATTCGTGAAGACTGATATTTAACATTTATTTGCACACCAGATGATGTACATTGTCAGGTACTTACCTCGACCAGACCCTGCACTATACGCACAGCAATAACAAAACCCCAGTGCACTCTACACGCCGTGGGTATTAATAAATTTAAAAAGGATGTTGTGCAGATTGCTATACCAAATATCCTATAGCACAAAAGAATGTTATTAATTAATCATAGATTCACATAAATTATTGTGTGTTTTTATGATGACAGCCATGAATCATGATGAAACGAACTTTTGATTGAAACTAACAAAGGATAATATACACTGGAGTACGAGTGATCGTAATGTCAGACCAGCAAAATAATATAAACCACCCAATGATGTACGCATGCATTGGGAATTACTGGTACGCACTATTAATTCAAAAAACATGAGCATTCGTTATTTCGTCGACTGGATTGAATTCGATTTTTTCGTCCTTAAACAATAATAAATCATAAACTAAAAATAAATAAATTTAACAACGAATGAAAATTACCGATTAGCTGGAAATCTGGATGCTAAATAACCGCCGGGTATTTGAGTGACGATATAACCCCAGAAGAAAGAACCGTGCATCAACCCCACTATATTAGGACTCCAATCAAATTCACGTATCTGTAACAGACGGAATATACGATGATTTGTATCATCGACGCTGTCAAAGTATAGTTTATTTTAACTGTATCGATACCTACTAGTGACTGTGCTTGAAATGTGTCATAGTCCGTCAGAGACGACATGCTCGCATTACTAGTATATACAATCATAGCTTTTAGAAATGATGAAAATTAAAATAACACCGGGTTGAATGGAAACAAAGCTCAAGAAGAGCCTAAATTCAGTGTTGAGTACATTCTCGTAGGAAATTGGAATTGGTAACCCATTTATTGGAATAAATGAGTTTGGTCAACAAATCTTTTTGTGTGTGCCAGACTTCTTCCAATGTTGAACTAAGGAATTACATGAAAATTACATGGAGTAAACACTAAATCCAGTGTGGTTGGGATATTATTTTGAGTTCACCTTTCTTTCATTTCATTTTAACTGCTCGATTCTATTCGATTGTAACAACACGTATCGCAGTTGTTCTTCCCTTTATATTATCGGGGCTATTTAAAGGGCGGCAGTCGTCGTGCCGCGTCCTGTTCGATATGGGACTCATAGCGACGTATACAACGCGTGTAAAATACATTGTTTATTTACATAAAATTCGAACACGCGCTGCGCGACGACCACCGCGCTTTAACTATTTGGCTACTTCGTGGGTTTTATATGTTTCGTTTGGACTATCCACGAAAGATGGAACTAAAAGAGTCTCCATACGAAATAAAATCCGGGTCACAATGCCATGGGTTGCGGGGGGGGCAGTATCTTGTCACACTATATGTAATGGAGTTCACCTCGGTAGTACATGCGCAGTAGCTGTTTCATGAAAAACGTGGTTTACTTTCAAAAAATGTAAACATGCGCGCTATGAAGTCAATACACTTACATGTAAATGGGTCTTTCCATGGATGTGATCTGTATTATTGTTAACCATATCTACAATTGCTACACCGAGGTTGCATCGAATACCAAATGATATACAAAAACCAATAGAGCTGAGAATAGATAAAATATAACGTTTGCTTGTACCACACTGTGGTAGCCGGAACTTTTTTTTCTCTTTTTCCACCTCATCAGCGTCGTCATAGTGTGCGATACTACCGTTGAGGGAGTCATGATTAACTAGACATTTCTCATCTTCCGACTTCTTCATAATCCTGTAAAAATTACAAAAAAAGATTATTAAAATTATCTATGGCAACGAATAACGGTCTGGTTCCAGGGATTATATTATTTTAATTTGTTTCCCACAATGCATTGGTTGTTCACGTCACAACATCTTAGGATTATTGCTAACAAATTATAGCTATTAGTTCTGCGGGCGTAGAGTGACTTTACTAATATGTTAACGCGATTACTCAGATGAAATGGCTAGCAATAAATAAGCATGGATTTGATAATATATATTGCATTGCCACTGGCGTAAGGTCACATAGGTCCATTCCAAATTACGCTGCCTATAGAGGGCATTTGTCACATCATTGTGGGATTATCACCGCGCATGGTAGGAAATCCAGATGAATCCTATAACTATAAAAGTCAGCGTGGACACGCCAAAGAGGTGTTATTTCCTAGCGTCGAGTGATAAAATGACGTGGGATTGATTGAAATTGGATCGAGTTAGGGTATTGGTTTTTTGATTCGTGCGACGATAAGTGACACCGTTAGCCGCCAATTTAACAAATCATACCGGAGTGATCAATAACGTTAGAAAACGAGGGCAAATGAATTGGGCGCCAGTGTGTAAGATCCCGATTAATGTCCGATTACTCTAAGGGATCTAACCGTAATACAATAGTCACGAACTGCACAGAAAAGGTGACAAATTACTGAATCTGCCAAATACATCTATATACTTCTAAAATATAAAATGAATTGGAAATTAAGCAATTTTTATTTTACAAAACAAAGAAGAAAAAAGTACATGAACAATTTTCCGGGTGATTAAAATCATAGCGTCCAACTCGTCGTGAGAGGTGTAAAGCAATTTCGTTCATCGATCTATGATATAATTAATTTGCTTTTAGGAAAGGGCAGACAGTTTAAAGAAGAAGAAAAAACACAACCCACTCCTATATAGTGTCACTAATTCAACATACAATTACTTTATTCATAGCTTAGACTGTCTACAAGTTACGGCTCATGTTGCCCGCAGTTTCCCTGGTGTGTTATGTGTATGTGTTTTTCTAGAGTTCGAACGAAGCTCGACGTGAAGAAACAATACGAAAATTCCAATATATTCACCGCCGTAGTTCAGTTCATTTCATCCTAGTAGCCAAAAGAATACGCACTGAAACCACTCTGTTACTGCATCGGTGCATTTTTCGTTTAAAACAAGTTTCAGCAAATTCTAAAAGTTAAGTGTACATTTCAGTTAACATGCTTATTTGTTTTTCCACTCTTTACGTACATATCATAAGCCAATGATAGCTTGTCATGTGTTATGTTATGCGTTGCATCATCATCACACATGTTGTTAATCCCAGTACGCCGTTACAGTGATCATATCAAACCGAAGGCGGGAGTTAAATATGAGCAGTACATATAGTGTATACCGGCTCACATACTAGTAGTTCGAGAGAATTGGTGTTTGTTTATTTGTATTCCGTCTACATGGCGTATTCCATGCACATGTAACGCGCATAGTGCGTTTGTTACCAGTAGCTCACTCGGTATGACATACATCGAACAGATACAACCAATATTGTCTGACTCGTAGCGTAACCAAATAGAATGGTAACATATTATTAGGAGAAACTGCGTAACATCTTGCCCATGTAAAGTATAAGTGGGCCTTTGTGACACCCTGACTTCAAGGACTTCGTGAGAAGGCACAGGGAAGCCTTTTATACAAGTCGGCTCTTCTTTTCACGGTTTGACGAAATAGCATGTCGCAATACCACAGTATGAAACTCGAGACTTATAATAACTTCTACAATTATAGTCATTTTTAGGACGGTGTCTTTATGAACACGCCACGAATTGTACCCCATTATGTCACTCTTCTCCATCTAAGTGACGCCCATTGCTATGATCACGTGCACTTGTTTGACCAATCACTGAGATTTTAAAATTCCAATAACCCGTTATTTGCAATAACGCTGTTCAACCAAATCGAGATGCGCTGCGGTGGGTACTACAAAGGCTTGAATGTGAGAGCGTTGACATGCATTCAAATGTAGACGCAATTACAACATTAAACCCGTTCAGGTATTTCAATTTGTTTTGCGATGCACAGGTAAAATCCGCAGACCAACTGATGCTCGTGATAGACACAAGCCATTAACATTCACTTTTACAAGAACAATGTATTGGTCGTACTCTATCCAAGGTACATATCACTCTTATTATGCCCGAACGAGTTATGACGCTTGTGATGCCGGCCTTTAATTACAAAATAATTAACTAATTCGATCACTGAATCATTTAATTACTAGAAAATTCAATTCCGCAATGGGATGAAAGTGCAATTATGCGTGCTTAAAAAAAGTTTTTTTTTTTTTAATCATTATTTAATGTAATGGAAATATGATGATTATTATAATAATTCTGCCATTGTAATTATCACCGAAGCGACGAAATACATTCGCCCAACTCAAATCAATCTCAGATCTCGATGATGTCGAATTTTTCTGTTTTCCGGCGAAACATTAGTGCATTTTATATGAAATATTCAATTCAGTACACTATTTACGCGACATTTTGAATTGGACAACAATGTACTAATAATATTTAACACAAGTGCGATATGTACAGCGCCACCAATATCAAAACTTAGTATGAGGACATCCTATCACTGAAACTTACATCAGCACCGATAATATGATGTTATATTGTTCAAAATTACAATATTTAGATGCGTCTCATGCAGAGTCTTAAATACATTGGATTAGCTCCAAACTCATAGAACACCAGGCGCCGTGCTTGTCACGAGATTACTGATCATGTTCTTATGTTCTTATAATTTGTTCTTCTTCAAAAAATAGGAATGATGAGTATTGATCATGTCCATTAAGGACTGATCACCTTGTCTTAGATGTACTTGTAGTCACGAATTATCATATCATTTATATTAGTTCTAGAGAGTTTTTTTATGGTAACCATGGACACTGCTGCTAGCGTTTACAACTCACGGGTAGCATAATAGATTATCATCTTCGTAAAACCAGTCGCCTAGACGAGAAAGATGATCCACACGACGTCACAAATCTTTCTTAAACCCCAGACAGACCTACCAGGCGTGCGACAGACAAGACTTGTCTGATATGTCCCTCATTTTATGAGTAACTACCGTATGTACGGTGTCACGTGACCAGTGTTAATTGGCGAAGGATATACTAAATTATTTTCCTGGTCATCGCAAAGTTCATGATCACGTGTCAGATCACATGTTTCGACTTTAGAACAAATTCCATAATATAATGACATACTTCCCACGCAATGCGCCCGATATAATCGACTTCGACATGTCCCATTTTATAGCGACCCATAAACAACCGGTTTAGAGAAAAAAAAAGTAACTTTCCCTTCTCGGTACTAATGACAAAATGCAGCATTTCAAATGACTCCCATGACAGCGATGACACATCGATTAGAAACACATAAAAAGCGAAATGGGTGTATCAAATTCTAAGATCGTAAAGTGACTATACTATTTCAAAATAGTCCATTTTGTGATTTCTTTCCCTATTTTAATGAAGACTATAATACTTACTAAGCGTGTGTGTGATAGATCGCGTTCAACTGTTAAAATGGCACTAATAAAAGTGAAAATAGGTAAAATTTACTCTTTATTATCCATTTTTACTGCCTTGTAAAGAATGACGATTAATTGCTTCGATAGAATGACCAGAATTCTTAAGTCTTATTTATAATAAATTAGCAGATGAATTCGTCTTGAATTATAATATGTTGTTGTCTTCACTCTAGCCTTACTGTTCAGTGCGGAATGTTGTAACACCCGAGGGGAGCCTAGAAGCTCTAATGAGAAACGGCATCTGATAAGAAGATCAATGTGTTATTATCATATAATTCCTTGATTGGCTGCTCGACCCCAACGTGACCTAATCCTTAACCCAATCAGGAAACTCAAAATATAGCCTGTATGCATAGATATGTTACGTTTAATAAGCCGCTCCCTTATTGGTTCTTTGGGCATCACGTGATAGCAAAAGATGCCCCAACCAGTAGCGGTAAACTTACCTCAGAATAAGAATAAGAGTAAGGAATATACAACAGATTGATGACATTTTCTTGTGCAAACAATAGTACCTATACCACCAGTAAAACTATCGATTTTTGAAAGCTATTTCGATTCGTTGGTGCTTACGTTTGGGTGTTTTAAAACACGATACGGTTGTGTATTTGACTTTCGAAATGTTTCCAATGGTGTGGGGAGTAAGCATTTATTTATGATAATATATATATATATAACTCATCAACTGACCTTTGGAAATGATGTCAATATTACTATTTCTTACGAGTTGTATAAACACGATAAATTTCCATTTCTATGCAACACGTTTTCCCATAGGACTTGATATAAAAATGAATAACTAATTCCAAACAAATAATAAATTATCCTGGAACCTGTCGACCACATCTCCTTTATTCCGTTCTTTTCCCGCACGCACTAGTATGCATAGTCTCACCGTCCGTAAATAACAATTTCCCCGACACACGCGGCACATACCAACTGTAACATCCCTGTCATGTCATGTCAATAGAGATGCATCAGATACCAATGAATGGTGGCGTAATTAGCGCTAAAGTGTGCGAACGCATCAACACCCGGGCCGGTAAAACGATGTTAAAGCATGGAATATTAATTAATATTAGTGTAATATATGGGTCTAGTAGTGTATATCACGAATATTACTACTACCCCAGTGGACAATATATAAACACGTAACTCTTCGGTGAAGCAATTATTATTTTACTCAAACTCACAATGACATCATACCATTTATAGAATTTAAAGAAAATTGCCAATTGTTCTCTAAGGTTGTTTTTCGATTAACTAATGTTTCTAATCAGACTTGTTACTCAGTCATTTGATAAACTTTAGTGACAAGCAAAAAATATGCATCGTCAACTACGCATTTTTCAATGCACTGAGTGCTCCACGAGAAAGTGTGGGTTACACACTTTGGCCAAA